GGCATAGCGGTGGGTGTCCGCAGAGCACCCCGATGGCGCTCACGTCGACATTCTGTTTCAAAACGCTGTATTTTGCTGCGGTTTGCACTCACTTTTTTTATCCTGAAGACATTTCCTGGCTGGCTCGCTAGCGGAGAAAACATTTTCCCTAGGAGGATGTCCAGTTGTGCGCATAACAAGGGGCTGTTCGCACATCCCATGCAACCACAAGTGATTTTTAACGCTCTTTGGCAGAATCTCCCAGGGAAAAGCCCAGAATTAAGTGAAATGGAGACAAAATTGGACTTTTAGGAGGTGGGCAGGGCATAATTCAGATGTTTTGCAGCGTAGAATAAAAATCATCCCACATACCTGGTGGTACTGCACATAAAATGAGGCTTAGCCCCTTAAATAACAAAGCTGCTCCATTTCCAGCAATTTTTTAATTCATGTTTGATGCACGTTTCAAGTTTCACACACTTGCAAACGGATTTTTGAGCTTGATGGTGGCTGCTTTCCATGCTGGAATCAATTGCAGCCTAAAATCACCCCGTTATATCGGAGAGTGTTAAACTGGAAGGACTAATCAGTCGCCCTATAAACAAGTCAGGACCGCGTCTGTCTGTCTGGAGGGAATCTGGGAGCAGGAAAATCTCTGCAGCGTTTGCAGAGCTACAGTAAGGGTTTAATCTCCTGCCTCCAGGTGTGCAAGCGGGAGGAACTCTTAAAAAATTAACGACTGCATAATTTCATTAAAAATAGGAGCCCTGCAAAATTAGCCAACTGTTTTGAAGGGCTCCTCCTATCAATAACCGGCAACTGTATGTCAATAATATACAAATACATATTAAGTGCATATATTACCCAAAATTATATCATTTTATATGGATTTGAGTTTTCCCTGCAGGGTTTGCAGCCCAGCCCTGTCTGAGCGCCTGAGAACCAGATGAGGTGTGGGGGGGGAAAGCAGAAAAACTACATAATGGAAACTAGATTTAAATAAATGCAGTGACATAATCTGTACGGTTATTGGCAAGAAAAGGGCAAGTTTGTGCTTTTCATATCCACTTTTTCAATAAGCTGTAAGTTTCCCTTTTAAGAAATGGTGGTAACAAACAGTCCCAATTCCTCTCCTATTAAAGTCAGTAGCAGACATCCACTGGGCTTCCAGCGAAGCGCCCAGCTGAAGCACTGCCACCTCGCACAAACTAAGACTTGCCAAATCATGTTTTTCTCCTACCTCCAGCCGACATTTGATATTAAGAAACACAGCCTTCATTTAAAAAAGGTGCCGAGGTGTGTGCCAGTGTGCGTGGGAAGCTCTAGACCTCCTTGTCACATAAAAAATCTTGGAAATTTATACTCTAAAACCTGAAAACACTAAGGAAAAAGTGCCTAATCTGTTCATCTTTGTTATTTCTAAGCTGAGGACAGAGGTAGAAGGGAGAACTGAGACAATTCATTGTTTTGAATTGCCCTGGACTGACAATATTATTATTGGATTTTAGGATTCTTCCGCTCCTTTTGCAGTCGAGCAATAAAAATGAGTATTTGGCACAATGCCCTTAGACACACTTGGAAAATAAAATCTGTGTTATTTTACACCAGATGTACAGGACAGAGAAAAATAAACACGAGATAATGGGACAACTCTAATAGTTTGGTATTTAAAGGAAAGACAACCCAGAGCGATGTCTGTATAATATTTAATGGCAAATCATAGTCTCTAGCGTCATTATATTATTCTGTTACAGTTTTTTCACACACTGTAAAATACTCTACAGTAACTGTATTTTAAAAATCCTAATTAAAAAGAGGAACACTCTGTGACAGCAGAAATAACTCAAGGGAACATGGAAAGGCTGTTTAAATTGCCAAGTGCTATCTATCCATCTAAACTCATCACACACCACATTTAGCCCTTTGTTTGCAGCAAAAGCAGCGATCCAGAGCTGGCATAGCGCACATTTCCTAATCATTCCAGTTTACACCCCAAATTATTGGCAACACAGAGCAAACTCTGGTCCAACACCCCGGGGGGATTGCTCCCGCCTTAAATCGGTCAGAATTTGCTTTATGCCCTAAACCATGAGGATTTATAGAGCTTCCAACCAGGACAAAAGCAAGCAGCAGGAAGGAGAGGGTTGGGTAGCACTTCCCAACTGCATCGCGTCTGCACGGTCGCTCAGAACCCGCCGTAGAGCCGTGTATCAGCATCCCAGCTCTCGGGGCAGAGCTGAACTAAGGAAAAGCAGCGGCACAACCAGAAGCAAAGCCCGAACACCAAACGTGTCCTCCTGAGCTGCTCCCGCGTGGGGGATGGAAAGAGAAAGGTGCAGGATCCTTCCGAACCATCCCAAACCCCGAAGGAGTTCAGAGACTTGCATCTGTGCATTGGGCAACACGGAGATGGGAGGGATGAGTGGTTCGAGCACGGGTTTCCCCACGGAGGCATCAAACCGCCTACGGCAAAACGAAATAGGGCAAAGGCCCAGATCTGCTCTATTTACTCTGGCAAAACTCCTCGCTGTGAACAGTGGGAGTTTTGCCTGAACGAATGAGATTTAGGGCCCAGATAGAGCCAAGATGGGAGCCTGCATGCGAGATCTCTTCCTGCAGGCGTGCAGCAGAAATCAGGGTTGCCTTCCTCTTCCCCTTGGGACGGGACCATGCACAGGCCGTTGCACGTCTCTACCCTTCTTATCGGGTAAGGCCTTTCCGACGGCAGGTCCTCTCCAGCCTTGGCAGAACAGCCGCGACGCCTGCACCGTGTCACCGCTGACAGCTCGTGCGGAGGCTGAGCGTTGCAGAAGAGCGACTGGCGGGAGCCAAACACAGCAGTTTTGAGGTAGGAGCTCAGGACACGGGGAGTGAATTCCCATCTGGACAGAAGTCCGGGCAGCATTCCCACTGGCCGGGAAAGGCCAAGATTGCATCTGAAGATTTCGCTCTGGAAGCCTTACCTCTCCTTTTCCCACCGCCTGCAGCGCTTTAGGAGTTGCCGCATGCGGAGGAGGAGGAGGAGGGATTTGCAGACACATCCCAGCGGTCCCCCTCCCAGATCAACTCACCAGCCCTGCCCTGGGGAGGGGGCGGCTGCATTTGGGCCCTTCAGCCCCTCAAATCAGAGCCCACAGCGGCGGCCGTTTGCTGGGGACGGGCACCTCTTCCCGCACCAGCAGGAACTGGCAGCGCTGGAAAACGAGCTACAGTAAAGGAGCTCTTTAAGCCTCAGTGTTTGTGTAAACGCGGCTTTAACTTTAAACCTCTCGGCTTTGTGGCTGCCTTTTTACTCCCATTCGCTTTTTTCCCTTGGCTCCCCTTCAATATACCACTATGATTTCCAGCTTAGGCTCTGGGGAATATATATATATATATTTCATATATTTAGCTAAATGGGCCATTTTCCATCCCTGTTAACTGTTGATGCGTCATCACTGACTCACTCACGCCAGTAAAGAACCTTACCCAATATATTTTCTCTCTAGGCATATATTACACACACTGTGATTCTGTAAAGCCAGCTTTGGGAGGTAGGTTGCAAACTGATCCCAGAAAAAATAAACTTGCGGAAAGGCACGCTGAGACAGGGGCTGCACTGTGCCGCCCTTCTAGGCGGTGTTTCTGTCTTTTTCTTCTGGAAAAGCTCCCTTAGGACATGTGAACTGGCATCTTTGGCTCTCAACTTTGAGTTTCCACCTTTCCTGGAGAGGGGACGCTTGCTTGAGAGTACTTTTTGTTAATTGTTACTTATTGCCAGAGTCGAAATAAAAATCTGAATAACTGACTGATGCTGCACCTTTTATTGATAAACTCACAGCTGTCCCTAAACCAGACCATTTGGTCCTGGGACATACTCATAGCACCTCTTTGTCACTTAAAAAACTCTCTAAGCTAAGGGGTACATTTACAGCTCGAGTGTGCCCAGGGTGCTTTAAGAGTTGGGAGTTTAACGGTATTAAAATCGCCTAAAATTGTAGGGTCATCGAAAACACGGGGGGAAATTTGGCTGTAAAGCTTCGGTAAGCAGTTCCCAAGGAACATGTTTACTGAAAGCACATCCTCAAAATGGTTTTGTGCTGCTTGCTTCGCCATCTCAAGGCAGGAACAGCGCTGCCGCTTCTCAGCAGGAGGTTCCTCCCCTTTCCCAGCTGGGATTTTTGGCCATGGTGGGGAACAACGAGGCTCCACACATGCGGGACCACGGCTTTTCCCCAGTGAGCCTGGCCGCAGACCAGCATTCAAAATACCCTCCGGCCGCAACGTGAGGGAGGGCAAAGATCCTCGTTTCAGGCTCGCAGCGCTAACGAGTGCTCAGCCCCGCAAGGAGATGCACCGCGTCACCGCAGCATCGCCCCTGCGCCCGGCCGGGCTCCTCTGCATCCCCCGCACCCCGGCGCCCCCTGCTCACCCACGCCAAGGCACCACGGTGAGGTGGCAGCATCTGCTTTGGGGGGTTCTCTGGGTCCATGCTGGGCTTGCTACTTCAAAGGCACTTCATGAAGAGTACGCGGGAGGTGTCGATGAGCCAGCGCTTAAAAAAGCAGCAGCGACACAGAGACCGAGATAAGGCACGGAGCGGAGCATCTGTGCAAGTCACCAGGGCGGCGTGGGCAGATATTAAGAGGAGGGACAGGGCAGCCCGGCAGCTGGCCAAGATACAGCTTCAAATCTACGTGGCACTTCTCCTGAGCGATAGGCTTTACCAAGAAAGGCTGTGTCGCCGTCCCTGATGTCCAGAAAGGGAAACTGAGGGGCAGGGAGCAGCACAGAGACTCGCCCAAGTTCTCTCAGCAGCCCAGCAGCAGAGCTGGCACTCGGATCCAGCTCCCTCCTGGCTCCCGGCCTCCAGCTCTGCCCGCCAGACAGCTTCATCCACCCCTGGGTCACCCACAGCACAGAGCGAGGAGGGAGGGCTGCCACAGAGAAATATAACACACTACCAAAGAGAAGCCATGACGGGGGCAATACACTGCAGGAGAGGCTTTTCTGGGTCTTCCCGCGCTCCCGCTCTCTGGCAGTTACCTACGCTTCAGCACCGAAACACAATCTTTCTTCAGCGGCCCGATCTGCAGGTGGGCATCGACGCTCTCCAGGAAGAAGGCTGGTTTCAGCTTGCACAAGAAAAGAGAGGCGAATTGGTGGTTGATCTTGTTCTGGAACGGGTCAAACTGACCCTTGGCAAAAGGGGAGACCTTGAGCTGCTGCAGGCAGGTCATCTTGGAGTCCTTGACTCCATAGAAGGTCAGGGCCTTCTCTGAATACTCCAGGAAGACCCCAATTGTGTGGAAAAACGGCTGCTGGATGACAGACTCAAAGCCACCAAACCAGGCCACGTAGTTCTGTCCGTTCCACTGCAGGCAGCAGGACTTCTCGTTCCGCCCCAGGCGCCCACGGTTGTAGGACTCCTGGGGGTTGAAGTCCTCAGCGATGACGCCGATGCTGACCCAGCCGTCGATGAGCTCCACCTCCCAGTAGTAGTTGCCCCGGTTCATGAGGTTCACCCCCAGCACCTGCTCGCAGTTGATGAACCGGGTCGGGCTCTCCGGGTAGGGGATGGGGCACAGCACCCGCTTGGCCCCTTTGGTGCCAAACAGCTGGATGAACTTGTCAGCCGTGTCACTGTCCAGGTCAATGATGAAGGCAACTGTGTGGGGCAAGAAGGAGACATGAGGATGAGGAGGGAAACAGGAGGAAATCCCCCCAGACTGCCCCCTTCAGATCCCCTGCTCCAGCCTTTGGTGATGAGCATGATCCTTCCTGCCTTCCACCATCACTCTGTCCCCGTGCTTTTAAATCCCACGGCCAATTTCAGCTGATGAGGGCTGAAAGAGCTGACATTCCCATAAGCAGGATGAATACAGGTAACTGGGCAAAGGAGAGAGCAGAGGGGCTGCTTGAGGAGCTCAGCCATGATATCAGACATTGGAGAACGTAGGTAGCGTGGTAGTAGGAACATCCCATATAAAAAGTGGGTTTCAGGCAACCACCGACAAACGCAGCAGGGAGGGACCCCAAGAAGACAGGAGAACAGCCAGGCACGTCACAGCTACAAACCAACTGCTCCTCGCTGTCAGCTCTCGCTGCCCTACGGCTCCCGCGGGAGCAGAGGCGGCCCCCGGCACACGGGGCCACGTGAGAACCACCGCTGGATCCCGAGCAGAGAGGATGTCCAGTGGAACAGCCCTGGACACGTATCGCTGCCGACTGCGTTGCAGCTCCGAACCCACGGTGTGCCCAAAGCCCACAGCAGCGGCACAGCACGTCCTGCTCCAGCCCAGGCTTTGCTGCCCGGCTCCCAGCGGGGTGCACTGGTGACACTGAGGCAGATCTTGTCCCCTGTGGACGTCTCCGTAGGTGACCCCACATCCCCTGTGAGGCTGTGGGGGGATGCACGGCATGTTGGAGCCCAGGTCCAGCCCTGCACTCTCCAGCCTCAGCCCCTTCTGCCCCACTGTCTCTGCTCAGCCATGGAATTATCCCTCCACTTGCTCCGCTTGACCCTCATCGGATCTGTGGCAAAGAAGGCAGATGCACGAACTCTGATTTCATTTAACAGAGGATCCAATTTGTCCAGGGCTGGAAGGCAGCAGAAATTACACAGTACGCCTGCAGCCCCCCTGGTAGCTGGTCCAGCAGAACCACAGACAAGGGAAAAAAAATATCACCTAAACAAATTATGACCGCTGTCAGGAAAGCAAGGAGGCTTCCCCGTTAGCTGAGCAATATTTCCTCGGGTACCAGCCGTCGGCTCGGGACCAGCGCCGGCTGGGCACGCAGGAAGGAGCCATCTGGCCGGGAGAGAGCAACGGGAAGAGGGACCTTAGCAACAACTGTCAAAGCAAAAGTCCCTCACTTACATTTCAGGAAGTAATCACGGCTCTCCAGGCAGGCGGGATTGTTTGACTTCTCTGGAAATCGTGACTCGGCCAACGCTGCAGAGACGGGGACAGAAGGGTTTGCCATCAGCAAAGAAACTGATGCCACAAACAAGGGTGTTACTGGAGCATCGCCCCCCACCCAACACCCTGATGGTAGCCAGCTGCTGGGCCCTGAGCTCCAGCCCGCATCCCCAGCTCCCCCTGCACATCCCTGACAGCTTGGACATGGGAAAGGACAGATGCCACCTTTGCCACCCCAGGTAGACGGGCAGGGGGGCGAGGGACGAGCTGCAATGCCCACAGGCATCCGAGAAAGTGAGAGGGAGGGGAGAGCTCGGGCTAAAGGAGGGAGCGCGGGAGAAAGCTGCCACGGTGGCTTTCTAACCTTGGCAGGTTTGGGAGACTGCCCCATGAAGAGGATCATCTATTTGGGAAGAAAGAGTCCCCTTTCACAGGAGGCCACTTTGGCCACTTGCCCCCTCCCACAGGGCCCTGCCTAACTCCCAGGCTGTTTGTTGCCTCTCCAGTCTCCGGTCTCCGTGGAAAAATTCATAAAACTTCAAGGATGAGGCATAAACCCAGACACGGATTGTGCAACGTGCAGCACAACCGTGCCGGGCAGCTTCCAGGGCTGGCGGGAGAGGGGCCAGCGCTTGCAGGAGCCATCGAGCCTGTAGGCATCTCCCACCTCCACAGGGAGGATGAAGGGTGATGGGGTGCCCTCTGGGCAGAGGGGCTGGGCGAACACAGACCTTCCTCCATCTCCTGGGAACTCAGCCCATCAATTCCTTTCCCCTGCAAGTGGTCCCACTGTTTTTTGCAGGCAGCAGACAGCACATCCTTCACGGCGCCCACGGCTTGGGTGCATTTGGTGAAGTTCAGCTCATTCTGGAAGCTCAGAGACGGGGAGAGGTTTTCTTCCATGGCTACTTTTAAGGCTTGAAATTCCTGAGCCAAAAAGACGGAGTTTCAGGAGGTTTCAAACAAGCCGAAGTTGTCTCTTGTTCCACAACCCCACCCTGCCCCGGAGGATTCGGGAACTGGCAGCTCGCAGGACTTGGCCCAAGGACAGCCTTGCATAAGGGAGGAGAGCGCTTTCCCAGCCACGCGTTCCTGGCACCTTCTCTTCGCTCCCTTTCAAACCTGGACCCAGACCTTACCCACCTCGCATGGAGCAGCATCTCCTCCCAAAAAGGTCTCTCCTTGCTGGGCTGCTGGGGACGGGGGGGATGCTGGATGGGGGCAGCAGTGCACCCCAACCTCTCACTCTCTGCCCCCCACACCTAGGTACCCAGCCTGGGCAGCACATCAGCTTCTCCTGAGTCATGGCCAGGATAGAGGTGGGGGTCATGGAGGAGAAAGTCCTGGCTGCCCAGTCACCCCAGGAGCAGGGAGGGGAGAGGACTGTGCTAACAGGAGTGAGACTCTGCAGCCCTCCCGCTCCAAGGACTCTTGGCACTTGCAGCTCCACGTGAAATGGCACAAAACCCCCAAAAGACAATGTTATCGGCTCCTTCTCCTCGCCCCATCCCACCCAGGCACCTGGAGGAAGTAGATGATGTTGGTGCTGGGGACGTTCTCCAGGTTTTGCTTGCCCTGGGCCAGTTTGGCTCGTCTCTCCTCCTTCCAGCGGAGATCGGCCTCGGCCTCCCCCAGCATGGAGCGCTCCCCGTCCTCGAT